ATCGGCTGCGCGTTAATGCAGTACGACTCAGACGGCGTTGAGCGCACCGCTTGTTATCAATCGCGTCAGGATCAAGCAGCTGGGCACAATTACCCGGTACATGACAAGGAACCCTTTGCCATGAAATATGCACTGGCTAAGTTTTGGATATATCTCTTAGGAGATAGGCCCTTCATCGTTTTTACCGACCATGCGTTGTTACGCGCGGCCGTAAACAGTCCACACCTCTCGCAACGAATGGCGATGTGGCTGTCTTTCTTCGTGGAGTACAACTTCTCCGTCGAGTGTAAACCATGACGACTTAATGTCGTCGCTGATGCTCTTTTGCGTCGGCCCGATTTTGAGCCGAGTGCTCAACCCATCAGTTGGGGTGATCCCACTGTCACGACACTAACAGTGACTGTTCCATCGTCGAATCTGCTCGATGACGTGCGAAAAGCAAACACAGAAGACGAGTCTCTTCTGCGATTGATGGATTACGTATCCAATCCGTGTAATCAAGTTTTGAAAAGCTTGTCGTCTAAATACCGCTCTTCAACCGAACGGTATTCTGTTCGTGATGGACAGCTGTACTATACAGCAGTCAACGGCGACACACCTCGTGTCAGCGTTCCGCCTTATAATGATTTGCGATTGCGCTTCTTGTATGAGTGTCACGATGCCCCCACAAGTGGGCATAGCGGTAGGGAAAAGACTTACCTCACGGTGAGTCGTGCCTTCTACTGGCACCGCCGGTATGAGTTTGTGCGTAAATACATTCTCGCTTGCGAATTTTACCAACGGGTGAATCCTAGTACGTCATCCCGTGCATCCTTACAGCCTCTTCCGATTCCGGCAGAGTGTTGGCAGTCCGTATCGATGGACTTCGTCTTCGAGTTTCCCAAAGACGTTCACAAGAATACTGGTATTCTTGTGTTAGTTGATCGGTTCAGCAAGATGGTACATCTTGTTGCTGTACCGGAGTCAATCACAGCCCAGGACTGTTCTCGTGTCTTCATCGATACTATCTTCCGACTTAACCGGTTACCCCGTGAACTCGTGTCCGATAGGGACCCCCACTTCACAGCGAAGTTCTGGCAATCCGTGTTCTTTCCACTTAAGACACGATTGACGATATCAACTTCTGACCATCCAGAAACAGATGGTCAGACCGGACGCGTCAACCGCGTCCTCGAAGAGATACTTCGAGGGTAGGTTTATTCGTTTACGAGTTGGAGTGAGTTCTTGCCGATGGCGGAATTCACCATTAATAACTCGGTGCATGCGTCTACTTTGCATACACCGTTCTTCGTAAATGGCCTACTCCATCCACGTTTGCCCGCCTTCTTATAGTGTGCCTCTAGCTTAAGGGGGGAGTCTCTCGAAACAAAAACCGATCTGGTTCTTGATTATCACCCGTCGACAATGGTGCCGACGTGATGGATGCCGATGTCGATCATATCGACACCGATGACGATCATGACGAAGATGCTGGCAAATTCAGCATCGCCAATGACTGCCACAGTGAGGACGATGACGCCCTCACCGGTGAAGGCAACATTCTTTCAGCAGTGCACACGAAGCGCACTGCTGTTGACAAGGATGAACCAGCAGAAGAATTTCTTCTGACTCGCGAAGCGGTTGTCCGCTTCGTTCAAGACTCTATTGCAGATGCACTATACAGACAGAAAAGAAACGCAGAAAAAAATGGAAGAGCAAATGTTCTTTCATTAAATGAAAGAGATTTAGTTTTACTGTCTACAGTAAACTTACCGAAGCACGCAGTGACAAACGTGGGCAGCAGTAAATTACTGCCCAGTTACATCGGTGCATTTCGTGTGTTGCGCCGAATGGGCAATGCGTACACGATTGAACTGCCCCGTAAGATGCGTACGCATCCTACGTTTTATGTCGGTCGTCTCCGCCCGTACTATCAGTACGAGCCCGTTTCAAGATGCGAAGAACACCTCCGCGGTCAAGAACGGGACCACCCTTGAGTGGTCCCGTTTTAACGACCCGTCTGGTCGACTAGCGAAGCGATCTGTTCACGCAGTTGAGCGATGTCTCGACGAGCTGCAGCCAGACCGTCACGAAGAGAACGATCAGAACGTTTGTTTTCAAGTTGCGCGAACGCAAACGCGGCATGATCGTCCGAACGATCGTGCGCTAAGGAATTGTAATTATCTTTTACAAGATCCTCAAGCCCATAACTCCGAGATCGTTCTTGAGCCAGGTCATCTTGCAACTGTTCCGTTAGAAGGTTCATCTCTTGAACATCAAGTTGATCCGACCCTCGAGCCGGATCAGGTGTTCCCACCGCCACCACATCCTTTGGTGGACTCAAGCGGTGGTCAACGCCTTCTAGTGGAGCGTATTTTGAACCACCGCGACGTGAATGACGTCCAGACGAGCTACCTCTTCCGCTGGCGTGGCTATCCACCGGCGTGGGACAGCTGGGAGCCTCGTGCCCAGCTTATTGTTGATGTCCTGGGTCTCGTCGAGCAGTATGACGAGACCCACCCGCTGCGTTCGAAGAAGGGCCGTCGAAAAACGACCTTCCCGAACGTGAGTATGGGGATTGCAAAGTGTCAATCCCTTCGGCCATCTCAGAAGAGATGCGCGCCCTCCGGTAGGGATCAATAGGGAGGTAGGCCTCCCTAGGGGCACGGTTCGAGTTGTCCAGGCAACCTGGACACGAATCACCCCACGAAAGACAGGGTAAGCTGCCTCTCTTGACAGCCGGTGCAACTTGTATCGCGCCCCGACTGGGTTGCGTTTCTCAAACCTGATGCGAGCTGCATCAAGTTTGGCGAGCCAAGCCTCACGGCCAATGCACTCGATGTTATGGATGAGGGCATTTCATCCTTGCACCAAGGCCTTTCAGTCTCGAACACGGCTGTTATTGCACCATCGATGTTTGAAAAACGCATCGGTGAAGAATTCTTCCTCAGCACGAATAGTTCCGTGCTGGAATCAGGTGGGCAAATCTTCCTACAATGAATAACGGGATTCGATCTCGATCATTAGTCATGCCGGCCACTCGATCTAACTCTTTGGATGACGGCATCCACGGAGACTCTACTTGGGGAGCGTGGCGCAGGACATTTCGGTCCCAAGCCTCTTGATTGGTGCCAGCACGAGCACTGGCACCAGTGATACCCCGATCCCTCGAGTTACTTCGCTCGTGGTGATGGATAGGTGCACCACCACCATTCCCACGCGTCCAAACGTTGGATGGACTCGCGTGAGGCGAGGATTCGTCGGAATAACCACTCGATCCGAAGACCTCGAGCATGATGCCGCCACGTTGACCAGAGCCTGTCAATCTGGCTCTTGCAGTGTCCGCCCCGGGTGATCCGGAGGCGTGAGGTGTCGCCTTTGAGTCGTATACATCATCCGACTTGCCAGAATAGATGAGCTTTATCTCAGACTCGTCTTGTTTACGATTCGTGGTACCCGCTGCAGACGCAACGGACGTACCTGTCGCACGTGGTGACTCACCACGTAGACTGTTCACAGCCACAGGCGATGTATCACCTGCTGCTGAGGTGTGAGAAGTACTCTCTCCGGCTGCACGCATGCGTGCAGCCGCCTTTCTTGATGCTACAGTAGCAACTCGCTTGGATTTCGAAATCATGCGTTGAATTGGCAAATGAATGGAATTTTGACCAACAAGTGCTCCCTTTCCCAGAGGGATCCAACGGTGGTCACCCTGTCCCAATCAATTTGTATTCGATCAAGGGGTGATTGATGGTTAAAGGGGGAGGGAGATGCAACGGGGTAGCCCGTTTCATGATATTGACACCAAACGGTGTCAATAGGATAATTGTCTAGCATGACAATTTCCTACCAATATTATCCGAGATGGATACTATTGAAGGAATATTATCCCCTTTTGGATAAAATTTATGTGCTGCTCCAAGATTGGTTGATAAAAGACATATCAAATGTAGATTACCACCAATCGCTGCTAGACGCGCGCAATGAGTGGTGAGCAGGTTGTCGTCATACGACGACGTAGTTTAATATCAAATAAAGATTACTGTTATTTTGATAGCTTAACTATATTGAATACAATTCTCTTTTACCCTTTACTTAGCTTAGTCGTTGAGTTGATTAGCTTCCTCTGCACGTACTAGTGTCATGCGTTTCGTGGCACCCGGATAAAGGGTGCCCCGATACACATAGCATAAACGTTTCATTTGGACCGAACACCGGTAGCTGATTTATGTTAAATGATACGATGAACAAAAGAAAACGATAGGACTCGATCTATAAGAAAGATATGGAGCGCGGCTTGAGCGAAAGAAGCAAATTAAACGAAACGATAAGAACCGTGTAAAACTGTAAAACCACGAAACACATGTTGTCGTCGATGTGTCCGTTTTGGAGTTGCGGCGACCAAGGAATTCTCTCTTTCAGTCCTATATTGATAAATTACTGCCTGATTGGATACATTTGTCGGTGACGGAGCAACAAGGTCGCAGAGATCGAGCAGTTTCCATAGCTTGATTGCGTAAGTCCAAACTCGGCCGAATGTGGCTAGTAGAAGTTTTGGTCACGTTAGTTTTTAGCACGAATGATAAATTCTTATTTGCATCGATTCGAAGTCCGCATGGTCTGTGTAATATTTCGTTTTGCCCAATGAACTGCAGCCAATGACACGCCGCTAATCTTAGACAACGAACCGATTAAAATCGAAATCCTGAGCCGATGGACATGCAGTCTCAAAAGCTATTTCAGATGTCGCTGACCTGTCAAACGTAGGCGGGATATCGAAAAACAAACTTGTAAGAGTCGTCCCCCACGTTATTTCGCTACTGTGGCACACTTTTGCAGTGTAAATAAATAAAAACAGGCTTCTGATTGGACAGAAAGTTAAATCATGCTGGTGCTAGAGACGCTCTTAGAAGGCGGGATCAGGTCCGGACCAAAGTCTCTGCTATTCGTAATACGCGTCACTACGAAACTCGCCACCTGTCCCCTCTATCCACCAACCAGCTGACCCATTTTTACTCACAATGCGCATCTACTCAACTCAGCTACTGGCTGCTGTTGTGTTCATCGATTGCCTCTCTAGGTACCCCGCCTCAGGCTCGAAGACGGCGCGACCTGATGTTCCTTCCGTTGCTCATCCCGATGGCCACGTGGACGACATCAGTGACGATACTGCGCAACGAAACGACGAAGACGAGAGCGAAGCGAGGATTGGAATATCACCAGGCGAAATCTTAGCGTTGGCGGAGAAGTCACAAGCCATGAAGCGTCCTGAGTCGAGCCGAACGATTCCGCGAGAGCTCGATCTGATTTCGGGCGTGGGAAAAGCGAGTCCTGAGCTGAGCGAAACGGTGGCGAAAAGGCTTTCGCAAGAACCAGACCACCCAAAGCCTCTACTCGATCTGATTTCGGGCGTGGGGAAAGAGAGTCCTGAGCCGAGCGAAACGGTGGCGAAAAGGCTTTCGCAAGAACTAGACCACCCAAAACCTCTGCTCGATCTGATTTCGGGCGTGGGGAAAGAGCAGGCGCATGTCATGGTTCCTCATTCGACGGACATCGAGAGGATCATCGAAGAGCTGAAAGCGGGTGCAGGTTTGCATCCTGTGACGGATGAAATGTGGACACTTCTGAAGAAGAATGCAAAAAACGAAAACGTGGATGATCCGACACTACGCAATGGTATTCATGGCTTTACTAAAATCGCGTTTGCTTTGCGGGAAGCTAAGGTGAAAGATCTTGACAAGGATGAGGCACGTGCGGTGGAGATCAGGATGCTAGATTACTTGTTGAATAAGGAGAAAGCCGACGTTAAACAAGCATTCTATCATCTGGGGCTCAATGATGTGATCAAGAAAGAAGGTCTGACAGACAACAGCCTGGCCTTATTGCAGGAGTTCATTGATCGGCGCAACTTAATGCATGATGGCCCCAATGCATGTTTGGATTCGAGCCTACTAAGCATTTTCGTTGGCGACGACCAGAACCTCTTACAGATCATTGCGGGCACGGGAGAGGACTTAGTACTTGCCACCAACGTGCTAGTGAAGCTCATCAGAAAGAAGTTTTCTGGTAAAACAACCGTCACGGGTATCGTGAAGCAGCTCCTCGAGGCAGAAGTGAGTGAAGATATGATTCAGCACATGCTGCCGAGTCTTCGCAAAGAAGAATTTAAACCGCGCCGCGAAGGAGAATGGAAGGAGTTGATTTCAGCTTTGCAGAATACGCTGGCTACTGGCTGGGACGATGCCGTTAAAAAAGCTGTGAAGGAGAGGAAGCCGCGCAAAAAATGGGGAACGAAAAGGAAGGCGAAAACTGCAATGACACTCGAGCTTGCACCAGCGCGAAAAAAACGAGCTCCGAAGGGCCGAAAGAGCAAGAAACCTTCCATTCGGCGTTAGGTGGAGCAAGACAGTGCGCGTTTGGACTGGCCTTGACAAAGGGTTTGCCCAAGGTATCTGATGCTTGATAGAGCAGGGTACTAGAGCCATCGATGCGTGTGAGCTTGCAACAAGTGTAGAATACTTTGCTAGTCTTTATCATCAAGACAAGTCGGATAACGTGGAATGCAACATCTTTTATGGATTGACCTTACCCTCGAAGCCACAGACTCACATTTGCCAACGACGCATTGGGTCAGAAACATGTTCGAACCGGAACGTGTCCAGTCATTTCTTCAAGAGTGGATGGATTCTGACACGGCTTCTCTCTTGGATTCCGCTGCCGCAACACCCTGATGCAAGCGTGTCTTCCTACACCAGAAGGTAAATCTGGAGTATTAGTCGAATCGGCATCGACGTTGAATGTGCGTGCTCTTCGATACTCGGCTGCTTATGGCACTGTTGTTAAAGGCACGAAGTTGTGAGATCGATTGCATTCGTTATGGCATCGAGACTTGACAGCAGGCAAGCTAGATAGACATTTGACTTGACATGCTGGACAACATCGCCAGCCATGTTTGTGTCGTGTTTGTTCATCATCATACGTGCGACAGGTGTAACCCAGCGACTCTGCAAGGAGAATCATAGTTTGGCTCGCTGGGAACCATATCCCTGGTGCTTTGGCTGCTCTATACAACCAAGATGAGTAGTAGAGCCCTCGTCCAGCTGACGCATTACGCGTGCCACTGCATCTTGTAAGCAAAACGAGGGCAGGGCTGCATGTTCTTACTGCAATCAGGTTTGGAATACTGCTCCGCCGGCTTGACATCAGCCCTGTGATCTCTTGTCTGCTGAAATATCGGCTTGGAGCTGAATCACGTTGGGCACGCTTACAAAACGTTTGCCACACACGGTTTACTGCTGAATGATAAGTCTCGGCTGTGGCGATACAGACTTGAAGCAGCAAGCAAGACTGCCTTGTGAACAGCACGCATTACTACTGTTCCTCATGCCATACGCGTAGCACCATCGCACGAAAGACAAGGCGAGCGGACTTCACATCCGTTCCAAGCACGACGCGGCTTCCTTGTACCCGGATTGAAACAGCAACTCTTGGTTTTGATCTCTTGCTTGAGGCTGGCACAGAGCTTCAATCAATCTTGCTCACACGATGCATCGTTTGCACTCCAGCAAGGGCTGCGATAATCCACGGAGCCTTCCACATTGCTGCCAGGTACAATGGCGAGAGCACTCTGTGGGTCCAACTCAAATGCTAGAATCGTCACGCCCTCATACTCCATGTGCAATCCACACTTTTTGATCTCAACCTTCGCATTGTGCACTCCAGCAATCACGTCGCACTTTTCTCCGGTAAATTGTGGTTTGGCCAACGTCGCTCGCCACAAGTCTCACCACTGCAGTGTTCCATTGCAGCCTCCACCTTTAGCGAAAACGTGGTCGTAAGAACCGTATTGCCGATGCCAGCCACGATGTGATCAATACCAGGCACGAAAAGTTTGCACCAGTTGCGGCTCGAATCAAGCCTAAGTTGCGCGCGAGCGCACAACATCCATAGCTTTCTGAGGCAAGGCTAGTTTCGTAGACCATTTACCCCCACTGAACGACAGCATCGGCTGTTGGCCGCGCACTCGGGTCGTGACTGAACAAATTGCTGAGCACATTCAAAGATTTGGGACATCTCTTTGCCGCGCGGAGTCAGTAGGGAACTTATTGGTAACGGTGTTGGTTACTGATACTAATGACCATATGTCATGGACGACACTGTGTGATAGTGTGTAACGATGGGATCGACTCATCGTTTTGTTACTAATATTATAGAGTCGATATCGATAGGCTTAGAGTAGTACAACGAGACGAACTAAGGACCTAGCTAGATGATAATTCACTTTCCATTTTACCTTCTTCTAAGCTCTCCCACCTCAACTCGCTCTTGGCTGTTGCCAAAAGTCAAAAGAACTTAATGTCTCGGGCATCACGGAGAGTGATGTATCGCTCCATTGTCGTGCCAAAGCGGTCGTGACACAGCTCAAAAGGGTCATTGTAACGGGGTGAATCGTTACGTAACAATTTATAAGAAATTGTTAATAGAATATAACTATAAGAGTTAGATTCTTAGAATATTGTCATAAAAACGAATATTCTGCAGCACTTACGAGTAGTTTCTAATTGGTTGATTTAGGCCATTATATCAACCAACGAAGACGCGCCACGACAGACGCACGCAATGAGTGGTGAGCAGATAGTTGATGTGCACATTTGTATTTAGACATAGTTAGATGAAGATAGATAGTGATTTATTGCAGACATTAACTATTATAAATACAGTTCTACTTTTTACTCTAACCAAGTACTCGCTTCTTCTTACCGTCTTCCTCTGCACGTACCAGTGTACGTGAAGTTACGAGGCACCGCCTTATTCTGTCGTCAAAACAAGTAGCTTGTACTGTCACCAGTACAAGCATCAGGGTGCCCCGTTACACCTGGTAGCACTTCGTAGTCCGTCCAAGGACCACGTTCACATCTAACATGAATATGTTGGATGATGAAGATGACCAAAGCTTTCACGCTACGCGTGACGGCTACTCCCATTTGAGCGATGTCGAATGGGATGCGGTTGAATGGATGGGTTCAACCATGGGCATCCATGCTGTTAGCGTCATGCTAGAGGCTCTCAATAGAGATGCCCAACATGCTACTATCGCCAAGTTCATTCAAAATAAATTTGACGTCGAACGCGAGAAAGTAGCCTTGCTTCACCAACAAGGTTCTCAACAAGCAGAGGTGTTGAGAGAACAGGGTGCTCAACAGTTTGAACTGTTGAGACAGCAGCAGGCTGCTGCTGGTGGGTCGATGCACTCGCGTCGACCCGAGACTTTGAAGATTGATATCTCTAAGTATAGGGGAGTCGAAGAGAACTCCATCTTGAGATGGTTCGTAGAATTGGATGACGCCATAAGGGCCCGTCGCATCGACGACGGGGATATGCAAGTTGCATTTGCCCAATCAAATCTGGCAGGACGTGCCAAGACTTGGGCACTGGGGCTCAAGTTGCACGACCCATATACGTTTGTGTCGTTGGAAGTCTTCAAGTCGCGGCTCAGACAAACGTTTGAACCGCCTAGAGCTGAGTTCAGAGCTCGAACTGAACTCTTGAAGCTCAAAAAAGGTAAGCGTGATGTGCACGCTTACGCGCAACATATACTACATCTCACGAGTTGTATAAGTTCCAACCCGGTTGATGAACACACGTTGGTTTCGGTGTTCATGCAGGGTCTTGCGGATGGTCCCGTCAAGACTCACCTGTTCCGGCTTGAACTAGATTCACTAGAACAAGCCATTTCCATTGCGGAGCAGGAAGACTTCAGTCTTAGACAGGCTCGCGCCAGCTCGACATCATATCGTCAACCGAGACGATGTGACAACGGAGGTCTAGAACCGATGGAACTCTGTTATGTAGAGAGCGAGAAGGCTTGCTCTACAGACTACAAGAAGTTGCAGAAATGCAACAGATGTCAGAAGACAGGACACTACGCTTACGAGTGTAGTGCCCCTCATCCAGTGTCTCGCAACGCTGGGCGTAGTGACCGTCCACCCATGAGAAAGAGGCAGGAACGCGGGTCCGCTGTAGGTACAAATACGCAACAACGGGATGGACCGTCAAAAAACGGACAGGATCAGTAGGTGCGGAGCACCCTACTGGTCCAGCAACGTCAAGAGAATTTGTAGGTCTCTTGATGAAGGTTGCTCCCAACACACAAATGTTGTGCGTTGCTGCTCTAGGCAATGAGATCTCACTCATTACCTTGAAACTCGAAGTGACGAATAAGTTGTCCCTTCGAGCTCTAGTCGATTGTGGGGCGTCCAACAATTCTGTGCGACGCCAATCGCTAGAAGATGGTCATTTTAAGTTCGGTGAATGTGATACACCTCCTACGAGGATGACGGTACGTCTTGCGACAGGTGCATCCGTAACCGTCATGAAGCGTATAGTGAAGATCCCCTATACGCTAGAAGATACCCAATATGACGATGACTTTATCGTATTGGATTTGGATGACAAATTTGATGTCATCCTTGGAATACCGTGGCTCAGAAGGTACGAACCACGGGTAAACTGGCAACATCGAACAGTAACGATGCCTGCCGCTTGTTCATCAGATGGCCATCTGATGAACGTTTTGGAGCGTCCACAAGCGTGTGGATGTACTACGAGTGAGTGCGATGGCCTCACTAGTGGTACGGTCGTTAGTACGACTGCACAAAATCTTCGTATAACAAACGGTTACACTTCGGAGAAAAGTTCCGGCGGCTGTGAGGAAACACAGGCTGCTCCGAATCCCCACCACTCGAATAAGTCGGGTGGACCGATACAAAGATGTATCCCTAGCAGGGAACATCTAGAAGAGAAACAATCAATCGCTCAGGTTAAGCGAAACGATAATCCTAGATCGACTGGAGAGTCTTTCGTAGAGGATCTCGCTGTGGTTGCGCAACCCCAGCTAGAGGAAGTAAAGGGAATAAGTCCCAAGATTACAAATACGGCGGAAATAAGTTCCCCGAAACCCGAGGGAATAAGTCCCTGGGAAGCCGAAGGAATAAGTTCTTTGAGGCCTGAGGGAATAAGTCCCCAGGAAATGACAGAGACTTTGAATGTCATAGTCAATAACGGATCAAGTGTAGGCGCTTATACACTTGATCTGATTGCGCCTCCGAAGTTGACTTTTCGGAGATCACTCAGTTGCCAACGCTCGAACATAAAAGGTTCTTGCGTGATCTTCGTAGTGGCAAAGTCAAGCAGGTCTGCGTACTCGTCGCTGACGACGAGTGTGTAGCCGACATAAGGTCAGCAACAGTGTTTACTGAGAACGAGAGAGTTCTCAGTAGTTCATCGATGGACGAGAGTGTCCTAGATGAAAAGACACGAGTTGAGCGATATGACTCTCAACCATGGGAATCGCTCAAGACAAATCCTCTCTATGAAGATTTGGTTGAATTCAAGAATGTATTCCCTGAAACTGTTCCGTGCGAATTACCGAAGGATAAAGGTATTCGACACGAGGACGAGCTTAAACCAGGCTCGAAGTACTGGGTCATGAAGCAGTGGCCACTGCCTCGTGAACAAGTACTTGCGATCGACAAGTTCTTTGCCGATCGTTTAGCTGCTGGCCATGTGAGGGAATCAACTTCCCCACATAGCTCTCCGACCTTCTGTGTGCGAAAAGCAACAGGAGGGTGGCGGATAGTGCATGCATTTAACAAGTTGAATGCTGCAACGGTACCGTCTCAGACGCCGATACCGAGGAAGGACGTAAACATTGATGGTATGTCATAGAGTACCATCTTTTCGTCCATGGATTTGATGGATGGCTTCTATCAAATCCTTATGTGAGAACGGGATATACCCTATACCGCAGTTAGCACGCCTAGCGGCATGCTCTGGGAATGGCTAGTAATTCCACAAGGGCTTAGTGACGCCCCTGCCACGTTCAACAGATGTGTATCACATCTGTTGAGACCGGTACGAGAATTCGCGCCGAGTTGTTTCGATGGCGTATTCATCCATAGTCGGGCTATGGATGGAAAGTCGGATGTTGAGGTCCACATGTACCACGTCCGACAGGTTCTTACAATCATGCGAAAGCATCAATTGTATGCGAATCTCAAGAAGTGTATATTTGCAGCAAGCGAAATACCACTTCTTTAATGCATCGTTGGTAAGAACGGAGTACGTCCTGATCCCGAAAAGATCAAGGCGATCACCGACTGGCCTGTGCCGGTTGATGTCAAAGGTCTTCGAAAACTTCTTGGGCTAGCGGCGTATTGCATAAGTATTCACGCAATTACGCCGAGATGAATGTGCACCTCTCTCGTTTGTTGAAAAAGAACGAGAGGTGGTTATGGAACGCTGAATGTCAGCGCTCCTTTGATGGTATCAAGCAAAGATTGATACAACCCCCAGTCCTAGCAATTGCCGATCAGGACAGGCCATTTCATGTGGCCTGTGATGCCAGCGATTTCGCAATCGGCTGTGCATTAATGCAGTACGATCTTGAAGGCGTTGAACGCGTCGTCTGCTATCAGTCGCGTCAGCTGCAACCAGCTGAGCGGAACTATCCAGTGCATGACAAGGAACTCCTTGCCATGAAGTATGCACTCGCGAAGTTCAGAGTCTATCTATTAGGAGATAGACCCTTCATTGTTTACACTGACCATGCGTCATTACGCACGGCAGTGAACAGCCCGCACCTTTCACAACGAATGGCGCGGTGGTTGTCATTCTTTGCAGAATACAACTTTACGGTCGAGTACAAACCAGGACGACTTAATGTCGTCGCTGATGCACTCTCACGTCTTCCCGACTTTGAAACAGTCGCGAAACCCAACAGTGAGACAGTCACTGTTGCGGTTATGACGTCCTCAGTCCCATCTACAACGTTGTATGATGATGTGAGGCGGGCATTTGCCCAAGATGGTGAGATCGTGAAGTTGTTGACACGTCTCTCCCAACCATCTCGAGAATCGTTGAAACGATTGTCGCCTGCGTATCGATCTGCATCAGATCGATACACTACTCGTAACGGTTTACTGTACTATACAGCCGTTTCTGGTGACACACCACGTGTTGTCATTCCAGATGATACTGATCTGCGTTTGCGGATCATGTTCGAGTATCACGATGCTTCTATAGGAGGATATCGTGGCCGAGAGAAAACATATCTCACGGTGAGTCGAGACTTTTACTGGCCCCGCCAGTATCAGTTTGTACGTAAGTACGTTCGCGCATGCGAAGTCTGTCAACGAGTGAAGTCAAGCCCTTCACTGCGTGCACCTTTACAGCCTCTACCGGTTACGGCTTAGTGCTGGGAATCCATCTCGATGGATTTCGTCTTCGGGTTACCCAAAGACGCACGCGGGAATACGGGTATTCTCGTATTTGTGGACAGATTCAGCAAAATGTTACACCTTGTGGCTGTACCAGAGTCAATCACGGCAAGTGACTGTGCTTGTGTCTTTATCAACACCATCTTCCGACTTCATGGGTTGCCCCGTGAACTCGTATCAGACATAGATCCACGCTTCACTGCTAATTTCTGGCGTTCCGTGTTCAAATCACTCGGAACGCGTTTGAAGATGTCTACATCTGATCATCCTGAGTCAGATGGTCAGACGGAACGTGCCAATCGTGTTTTCGAAGAGATACTTCGAGGGTACGTACACTCCTTTTAGAGTTGGAGTGAGTTTTTGCTAATGGTAGAGTTTGCCATTAACAACTCGGTGCATGCGTCCACGACACATACACCGTTTTACGTGAATGGCTTGCGCCATCCGCGTGTACCCACCTTACTAGAGTGTAACTCTGGTTTAAGGGGGGGGACTCGCGCGAGCAAAAACCGATTTGGTTCACGCTCATCACGCTCTGACAAAGAGGTCATTGCGTTTGATGCCGATATCGATAACATCGATATCGAAGAAGATGATGCCAGTGAGAGTGCGGAAGCCCTCACTGAAGAAAAGGTTGATGTTGCTGCAGTGCACATACAGCGCACTGAAGCTAACGAGTCACCAGATGAGTTCATACTGGCTCGTGAAACGGTAGTCCGTTTTGTGCAAGACTCCATCGCCGAAGCGGTGGATAAGCAAAGCAAAACGCTGACAAGAATGGAAGGGCAAACACTCTTTTATTTAACAAAGGTGACTTAGTCCTACTGTCTACGGTTAATCTACCAAAGCATGTAGTGACTAACTTGGGTAGCAGTAAACTACTACCCAAGTACATCGGCCCATTTCGTGTATTGCACCGCCTAGGCAATGCATACACGATCGAGTTGCCACTTAAAATGCGAACGCATCCCACGTTTGACGTTAGTCAGCTTAAGCCGTACCATCAGTACGCTGTTTCTTCCGATGAAGAATACCCTTGCGCTCAAGCATCTCACAGAGAGCCTTGTGCTCCCGATGGTGGGCATCGACAAGGGTCTGAAGAGCAGTTATCTCATCCCGAGACCGCTCAACATCCCCACGAGCTACCCTTAGCTCGTCACGCAGAGATGTCAGAGCTCCTCTCGTTCTCGAGCTGAGCAAAGGCAAGCTCAGCTCGATGCCTCGAGACAGTGTCCGCCAGTTGGTGACGCCTGTCCCGCTCGTGTTCGAGATCGCCGCGTAACCCTTGCGTTACGCGATCAAAGAAGCTCTCGGGAACACACGCTTCCCCACGATTGTGTGGAGAGCGTCTTCCCTCCTCCTCCACCTCCCTTAGAGTACTCTCACAGTGGCCAGCGCTATCTGGTTGAGCAGCTGTTGAACCACTGCGACGTGAACGGACGTCGGACGAGTTATCTTGTCCGGTGGCGCGGCTACCCCCCGTCCTGGGATACTTGGGAGCCCCGCTCCCAACTGATGGCTGACGTACTGGGTCTGGTCGAGAAGTACGATGCGGCACATCCTGTGCCGCAGAAGGACCGCTGGAGAAAGTCTTCCCGGCACGGTCGTTAAGGGATTTCAGGTTGTTAATCCCTTCGTACAGTTCACTAGAGACACGTACACGCCACCACGGGCTAGTAAGGAGGTAAGCCTCCTTAGGTGCTCGTGCAGAGTTGTTCACACAACACGGGAACGAGTCTCCCCAAGAGAGGCAAGGTAATCCTTTCTACCTATGCATACGATGCAGCTTGTAGCGTGCACCTGTCGGGGTTCGCTTTTCAAACTTATCACGAGCTTTGATAAGTTTGTCGTTCCAAACGTCACGACCTACATCCTCAAGGTTATGGATGTAGGCGTTCCACGCTTGAAGCAGTGAGGGACCATCACGTTTGTGATTCCCACTGTACCATCGATGTTTAAAGAAAGCATCGATGAAGAACTCATGTTCAGTGTGATAGTTTTTTGCACTGGGGTCAAGGTGATGGATCCTTGACGAATCGAACAACCGTGTTCGATAACGATCACTCGTCGTCGCCGACAAGTGATCCATGACGGATTTGGGAGGCATCCATGCCTCTTCTCAGGAGCGAGACGCAAAACACTGCGGTCCCGCTCTTCTTGCGACGTGCCGACAGAAGTACTGGCACCTCGTTGCGAAGTGGTTTCAATAGGAGAACCGACACCACTGTGAGCGCCCGAGTCTTGTGACTTCGAGCGCCTTCGCTTCGGCGATGGTTCATCTGATTCATCAGATGAACCAAAGATGCTGCGACGCATAGCATCGTCCATGCCACGATTGGCAGGCGGCTTGGATTCAATCGCCGTTGATACGGATCCGTCTTCCGTATCAGGAGAGTATGAGACACCGAGCTCATACTCTGTGAAGACATGAGTGTCTTCATGACCAGCGCCTGCATCACCAGGTGACACAGGCTGAGTCGCTTCAGCAACCGATGAGACATCAGTTGCTACGATTTCTGCTTCGGCGTCCGCACTGAGACGTGCGGACGCGCTCAAGGCGGCCTTGCTCGCGCATCGCATGGGCTTGTTAACCATGCGATGAACAGTTGGAAAGTGGACTCGGACCAACAAGTGCAAACCCTGTTCCAAATGATTTGGGACGAGTGTCCATTTAGTCAATCAGTCACTAAAGCGACTGATGGTTAGAGGGGGTAATGTAACGGGGTGAATCGTTACATAACAATTTATAAGAAATTGTTAATAGAATATAACTATAAGAGTTAGATTCTTAGAATATTGTCATAAAAACGAATATTCTGCAGCACTTACGAGTAGTTTCTAATTGGTTGATTTAGGCCATTATATCAACCAACGAAGACGCGCCACGACAGACGCACGCAATGAGTGGTGAGCAGATAGTTGATTTACACATTTGTATTTAGACATAGTTAGATGAAGATAGATAGTGATTTATTGCAGACATTAACTATTATAAATACAGTTCTACTTTTTACTCTAACCAAGTACTCGCTTCTTCTTACCGTCTTCCTCTGCACGTACCAGTGTACGTGAAGTTACGAGGCACCGCCTTATTCTGTCGTCAAAACAAGTAGCTTGTACTGTCACCAGTACAAGCATCAGGGTGCCCCGTTACACCTGGTAGCACTTCGTAGTCCGTCCAAGGACCACGTTCACATCTAACATGAATATGTTGGATGATGAAGATGACCAAAGCTTTCACGCTACGCGTGACGGCTACTCCCATTTGAGCGATGTCGAATGGGATGCGGTTGAATGGATGGGTTCAACCATGGGCATCCATGCTGTTAGCGTCATGCTAGAGGCTCTCAATAGAGATGCCCAACATGCTACTATCGCCAAGTTCATTCAAAATAAATTTGACGTCGAACGCGAGAAAGTAGCCTTGCTTCACCAACAAGGTTCTCAACAAGCAGAGGTGTTGAGAGAACAGGGTGCTCAACAGTTTGAACTGTTGAGACAGCAGCAGGCTGCTGCTGGTGGGTCGATGCACTCGCGTCGACCCGAGACTTTGAAGATTGATATCTCTAAGTATAGGGGAGTCGAAGAGGACTCCATCTTGAGATGGTTCGTAGAATTGGATGACGCCATAAGGGCCCGTCGCATCGACGACGGGGATATGCAAGTTGCATTTGCCCAATCAAATCTGGCAGGACGTGCCAAGACTTGGGCACTGGGGCTCAAGTTGCACGACCCATATACGTTTGTGTCGTTGGAAGTCTTCAAGTCGCGGCTCAGACAAACGTTTGAACCGCCTAGAGCTGAGTTCAGAGCTCGAACTGAACTCTTGAAGCTCAAGCAGGGTAAGCGTGATGTGCACGCTTACGCGCAACATATACTACATCTCACGAGTTGTATAAGTTCCAACCCGGTTGATGAACACACGTTGGTTTCGGTGTTCATGCAGGGTCTTGCGGATGGTCCCGTCAAGACTCACCTGTTCCGGCTTGAACTAGATTCACTAGAACAAGCCATTTCCATTGCGGAGCAGGAAGACTTCAGTCTTAGACAGGCTCGCGCCAGCTCGACATCATATCGTCAACCGAGACGATGTGACAACGGAGGTCTAGAACCGATGGAACTCTGTTATGTAGAGAGCGAGAAGGCTTGCTCTACAGACTACAAGAAGTTGCAGAAATGCAACAGATGTCAGAAGACAGGACACTACGCTTACGAGTGTAGTGCCCCTCGTCCAGTGTCTCGCAACGCTGGGCGTAGTGACCGTCCACCCATGAGAAAGAGGCAGGAACGCGGGTCCGCTGTAGGTACAAATACGCAACAACGGGATGGACCGTCAAAAAACGGACAGGATCAGTAGGTGCGGAGCACCCTACTGGTCCAGCAACGTCAAGAGAATTTGTAGGTCTCTTGATGAAGGTTGCTCCCAACACACAAATGTTGTGCGTTGCTGCTCTAGGCAATGAGATCTCACTCATTACCTTGAAACTCGAAGTGACGAATAAGTTGTCCCTTCGAGCTCTAGTCGATTGTGGGGCGTCCAACAATTCTGTGCGACGCCAATCGCTAGAAGATGGTCATTTTAAGTTCAGTGAATGTGATACACCTCCTACGAGGATGACGGTACGTCTTGCGACAGGTGCATCCGTAACCGTCATGAAGCGTATAGTGAAGATCCCCTATACGCTAGAAGATACCCAATATGACGATGACTTTATCGTATTGGATTTGGATGACAAATTTGATGTCATCCTTGGAATACCGTGGCTCAGAAGGTACGAACCACGGGTAAACTGGCAACATCGAACAGTAACGATGCCTGCCGCTTGTTCATCAGATGGCCATCTGATGAACGTTTTGGAGCGTCCACAAGCGTGTGGATGTACTACGAGTGAGTGCGATGGCCTCACTAGTGGTACGGTCGTTAGTACGACTGCACAAAATCTTCGTATAACAAACGGTTACACTTCGGAGCAAAGTTCCGGCGGCTGTGAGGAAACACAGGCTGCTCCGAATCCCCACCACTCGAATAAGTCGGGTGGACCGATACAAAGATGTATCCCTAGCAGGGAACATCTAGAAGAGAAACAATCAATCGCTCAGGTTAAGCGAAACGATAATCCTAGATCGACTGGAGAGTCTTTCGTAGAGGATCTCGCTGTGGTTGCGCAACCCCAGCTAGAGGAAGTAAAGGGAATAAGTCCCAAGATTACAAATACGGCGGAAATAAGTTCCCCGAAACCCGAGGGAATAAGTCCCTGGGAAGCCGAAGGAATAAGTTCTTTGAGGCCTGAGGGAATAAGTCCCCAGGAAATGACAGAGACTTTGAATGTCATAGTCAATAACGGATCAAGTGTAGGCGCTTATACACTTGATCTGATTGCGCCTCCGAAGTTGACTTTTCGGAGATCACTCAGTTGCCAACGCTCGAACATAAAAGGTTCTTGCGTGATCTTCGTAGTGGCAAAGTCAAGCAGGGTCTGCGTACTCGTCGCTGACGACGAGTGTGTAGCCGACATAAGGTCAGCAACAGTGTTTACTGAGAACGAGAGAGTTCTCAGTAGTTCATCGATGGACGAGAGTGTCCTAGATGAAAAGACACGAGTTGAGCGATATGACTCTCAACCATGGGAATCGCTCAAGACAAATCCTCTCTATGAAGATTTGGTTGAATTCAAGAATGTATTCCCTGAAACTGTTCCGTGCGAATTACCGAAGGATAAAGGTATTCGACACGAGGACGAGCTTAAACCAGGCTCGAAGTACTGGGTCATGAAGCAGTGGCCACTGCCTCGTGAACAAGTACTTGCGATCGACAAGTTCTTTGCCGATCGTTTAGCTGCTGGCCATGTGAGGGAATCAACTTCCCCACATAGCTCTCCGACCTTCTGTGTGCGAAAAGCAACAGGAGGGTGGCGGATAGTGCATGCATTTAACAAGTTGAATGCTGCAACGGTACCGTCTCAGACGCCGATACCGATACCGAGGAAGGACGTAAACATTGATGGTATGTCATAGAGTACCATCTTTTCGTCCATGGATTTGATGGATGGCTTCTATCAAATCCTTATGTGAGAACGGGATATACCCTATACCGCAGTTAGCACGCCTAGCGGCATGCTCTGGGAATGGCTAGTAATTCCACAAGGGCTTAGTGACGCCCCTGCCACGTTCAACAGATGTGTATCACATCTGTTGAGACCGGTACGAGAATTCGCGCCGAGTTGTTTCGATGGCGTATTCATCCATAGTCGGGCTATGGATGGAAAGTCGGATGTTGAGGTCCACATGTACCACGTCCGACAGGTTCTTACAATCATGCGAAAGCATCAATTGTATGCGAATCTCAAGAAGTGTATATTTGCAGCAAGCGAAATACCACTTCTTTAATGCATCGTTGGTAAGAACGGAGTACGTCCTGATCCCGAAAAGATCAAGGCGATCACCGACTGGCCTGTGCCGGTTGATGTCAAAGGTCTTCGAAAACTTCTTGGGCTAGCGGCGTATTGCATAAGTATTCACGCAATTACGCCGAGATGACTGTGCACCTCTCTCGTTTGTTGAAAAAGAACGAGAGGTGGTTATGGAACGCTGAATGTCAGCGCTCCTTTGATGGTATCAAGCAAAGATTGATACAACCCCCAGTCCTAGCAATTGCCGATCAGGACAGGCCATTTCATGTGGCCTGTGATGCCAGCGATTTCGCAATCGGCTGTGCATTAATGCAGTACGATCTTGAAGGCGTTGAACGCGTCGTCTGCTATCAGTCGCGTCAGCTGCAACCAGCTGAGCGGAACTATCCAGTGCATGACAAGGAACTCCTTGCCATGAAGTATGCACTCGCGAAGTTCAGAGTCTATCTATTAGGAGATAGACCCTTCATTGTTTACACTGACCATGCGTCATTACGCACGGCAGTGAACAGCCCGCACCTTTCACAACGAATGGCGCGGTGGTTGTCATTCTTTGCAGAATACAACTTTACGGTCGAGTACAAACCAGGACGACTTAATGTCGTCGCTGATGCACTCTCACGTCTTCCCGACTTTGAAACAGTCGCGAAACCCAACAGTGAGACAGTCACTGTTGCGGTTATGACGTCCTCAGTCCCATCTACAACGTTGTATGATGATGTGAGGCGGGCATTTGCCCAAGATGGTGAGATCGTGAAGTTGTTGACACGTCTCTCCCAACCATCTCGAGAATCGTTGAAACGATTGTCGCCTGCGTATCGATCTGCATCAGATCGATACACTACTCGTAACGGTTTACTGTACTATACAGCCGTTTCTGGTGACACACCACGTGTTGTCATTCCAGATGATACTGATCTGCGTTTGCGGATCATGTTCGAGTATCACGATGCTTCTATAGGAGGATATCGTGGCCGAGAGAAAACATATCTCACGGTGAGTCGAGACTTTTACTGGCCCCGCCAGTATCAGTTTGTACGTAAGTACGTTCGCGCATGCGAAGTCTGTCAACGAGTGAAGTCAAGCCCTTCACTGCGTGCACCTTTACAGCCTCTACCGGTTACGGCTTAGTGCTGGGAATCCATCTCGATGGATTTCGTCTTCGGGTTACCCAAAGACGCACGCGGGAATACGGGTATTCTCGTATTTGTGGACAGATTCAGCAAAATGTTACACCTTGTGGCTGTACCAGAGTCAATCACGGCAAGTGACTGTGCTTGTGTCTTTATCAACACCATCTTCCGACTTCATGGGTTGCCCCGTGAACTCGTATCAGACATAGATCCACGCTTCACTGCTAATTTCTGGCGTTCCGTGTTCAAATCACTCGGAACGCGTTTGAAGATGTCTACATCTGATCATCCTGAGTCAGATGGTCAGACGGAACGTGCCAATCGTGTTTTCGAAGAGATACTTCGAGGGTACGTACACTCCTTTTAGAGTTGGAGTGAGTTTTTGCTAATGGTAGAGTTTGCCATTAACAACTCGGTGCATGCGTCCACGACACATACACCGTTTTACGTGAATGGCTTGCGCCATCCGCGTGTACCCACCTTACTAGAGTGTAACTCTGGTTTAAGTGGGGGAGGGACTCGCGCGAGCAAAAACCGATTTGGTTCACGCTCATCACGCTCTGACAAAGAGGTCATTGCGTTTGATGCCGATATCGATAACATCGATATCGAAGAAGATGATGCCAGTGAGAGTGCGGAAGCCCTCACTGAAGAAAAGGTTGATGTTGCTGCAGTGCACATACAGCGCACTGAAGCTAACGAGTCACCAGATGAGTTCATACTGGCTCGTGAAACGGTAGTCCGTTTTGTGCAAGACTCCATCGCCGAAGCGGTGGATAAGCAAAGCAAAACGCTGACAAGAATGGAAGGGCAAACACTCTTTTATTTAACAAAGGTGACTTAGTCCTACTGTCTACGGTTAATCTACCAAAGCATGTAGTGACTAACTTGGGTAGCAGTAAACTACTACCCAAGTACATCGGCCCATTTCGTGTATTGCACCGCCTAGGCAATGCATACACGATCGAGTTGCCACTTAAAATGCGAACGCATCCCACGTTTGACGTTAGTCAGCTTAAGCCGTACCATCAGTACGCTGCTTCTTCCGATGAAGAATACCCTTGCGCTCAAGCATCTCACAGAGAGCCTTGTGCTCCCGATGGTGGGCATCGACAAGGGTCTGAAGAGCAGTTATCTCATCCCGAGACCGCTCAACATCCCCACGAGCTACCCTTAGCTCGTCACGCAGAGATGTCAGAGCTCCCTCGTTCTCGAGCTGAGCAAAGGCAAGCTCAGCTCGATGCCTCGAGACAGTGTCCGCCAGTTGGTGACGCCTGTCCCGCTCGTGTTCGAGATCGCCGCGTAACCCTTGCGTTACGCGATCAAAGAAGCTCTCGGGAACACACGCTTCCCCACGATTGTGTGGAGAGCGTCTTCCCTCCTCCTCCACCTCCCTTAGAGTACTCTCACAGTGGCCAGCGCTATCTGGTTGAGCAGCTGTTGAACCACTGCGACGTGAACGGACGTCGGACGAGTTATCTTGTCCGGTGGCGCGGCTACCCCCCGTCCTGGGATACTTGGGAGCCCCGCTCCCAACTGATGGCTGACGTACTGGGTCTGGTCGAGAAGTACGATGCGGCACATCCTGTGCCGCAGAAGGACCGCTGGAGAAAGTCTTCCCGGCACGGTCGTTAAGGGATTTCAGGTTGTTAATCCCTTCGTACAGTTCACTAGAGACACGTACACGCCACCACGGGCTAGTAAGGAGGTAAGCCTCCTTAGGTGCTCGTGCAGAGTTGTTCACACAACACGGGAACGAGTCTCCCCAAGAGAGGCAAGGTAATCCTTTCTACCTAGGCATACGATGCAGCTTGTAGCGTGCACCTGTCGGGGTTCGCTTTTCAAACTTATCACGAGCTTTGATAAGTTTGTCGTTCCAAACGTCACGACCTACATCCTCAAGGTTATGGATGTAGGCGTTCCACGCTTGAAGCAGTGAGGGACCATCACGTTTGTGATTCCCACTGTACCATCGATGTTTAAAGAAAGCATCGATGAAGAACTCATGTTCAGTGTGATAGTTTTTTGCACTGGGGTCAAGGTGATGGATCCTTGACGAATCGAACAACCGTGTTCGATAACGATCACTCGTCGTCGCCGACAAGTGATCCATGACGGATTTGGGAGGCATCCATGCCTCTTCTCAGGAGCGAGACGCAAAACACTGCGGTCCCGCTCTTCTTGCGACGTGCCGACAGAAGTACTGGCACCTCGTTGCGAAGTGGTGTCAATAGGAGAACCGACACCACTGTGAGCGCCCGAGTCTTGTGACTTCGAGCGCCTTCGTTTCGGCGATGGTTCATCTGATTCATCAGATGAACCAAAGATGCTGCGACGCATAGCATCGTCCATGCCACGATTGGCAGGCGGCTTGGATTCAATCGCCGTTGATACGGATCCGTCTTTCCGTATCAGGAGATTATGAGACACCGAGCTCATACTCTGTGAAGACATGAGTGTCTTCATGACCAGCGCCTGCATCACCAGGTGACACAGGCTGAGTCGCTTCAGCAACCGATGAGACATCAGTTGCTACGATTTCTGCTTCGGCGTCCGCACTGAGACGTGCGGACGCGCTCAAGGCGGCCTTGCTCGCGCATCGCATGGGCTTGTTAACCATGCGATGAACAGTTGGAAAGTGGACTCGGACCAACAAGTGCAAACCCTGTTCCAAATGATTTGGGACGAGTGTCCATTTAGTCAATCAGTCACTAAAGCGACTGATGGTTAGAGGGGGTAATGTAACGGGGTGAATCGTTACATAACAATTTATAAGAAATTGTTAATAGAATATAACTATAAGAGTTAGATTCTTAGAATATTGTCATAAAAACGAATATTCTGCAGCACTTACGAGTAGTTTCTAATTGGTTGATTTAGGCCATTATATCAACCAACGAAGATGCGCCACGACAGACGCACGCAATGAGTGGTGAGCAGATAGTTGATTTACACATTTGTATTTAGACATAGTTAGATGAAGATAGATAGTGATTTATTGCAGACATTAACTATTATAAATACAGTTCTACTTTTTACTCTAACCAAGTACTCGCTTCTTCTTACCGTCTTCCTCTGCACGTACAAGTGTACGTGAAGTTCCGAGGCCCGCCTTATTCTGTCGTCAGAAAAAGCAGCTTGTACTGTCATCAGTACAAGCTTCAGGTTGCCCCGTTACAATTTGCCCCCGTCCTGAACGACAGCATAGGCTGTTGGCCGCGCACTCGGGTCGTGACTGAACAAATTGCTGAGCACATTCAGGGATTCGGGACATCTCTTTGCCGCGCAGAGTCAGTAGGAAATTCAATGTATCGGGCATCACGGAGAGTGATGTATCGCTCCATTGTCGTGCTAAAGCGGTCGTGACATAGCTCAAAAAGGGTCATTTACAAAGAGTACACATCCGTCTTGGCGTTGTACTTCCCCTGCGACTTGTTCCGGGCTTTCGCAAGATACGCGCCAACACCAGCAAGTGCGTCGTTTCTCCGACGTGTTCGACCGCATCGAAGCAGACAGAGGAGTGTCCCGCACACCATTGGAAAAATGCCCTTGTTGGGGATCAGCAAAACTTCCCGAGGCGTTTAGGCTGCTTGCATTTGCAGCGGCTCGCGATAAAGCGAAATCCACCAACTTGATCGCAACTCTATACACGTCGGCAACAAAGATATTCGCTGGCTTCAGATCACGATGAATCAGTCCACACGAATGTACGTGCTCCAGTGCACTTGCAATGTGCACAAAGATCTTTAATATTCTCGACAACTCTATCGGGCGGCTTGGAGCAGCCAGATTTTCTGCCAAGTTGCGTCCAGCACGGTACTGCACTCAAATATACAGCCAGATAGTCGGCCAAGTTGCGGCCGGCACAGTACTGCAACTGAATGTACAGCCAGTAATCACGTTTTTCTACTGCATAACTCTTAACTCACGTTTTTCTTCCGCGTTGCACGAATGACCTTGTCTCTACCACGAGCAGCCGGTGGAGGTACGCGATATGGCAAACAGTTCTTAAGTGGCTTGTTTGGCACAACCAGATCTTCTTCGTTCCACCCATCACCACTTCCAATACTAGAAGTCCCAGTTCTCCGACAAACCTACCATCATCGACATGGTCTCTGATTTCGTTTCCATTGCTGTAGAAACTCTCGGGCTAGTCGTTGAGCTCCTGAGAACAGAAGCTCTGAATTCGGCGCGAGCAGATGGTGCGTAAAATTATTGGCCGCAGTATCTAGTCCACCGACAGAGCTCGTGTCGGAGACGACCGAAGATGCTACCGACGTTCCCTTTGTGCTCTCTTCCATTGTTTTAGCCACGCTCGATAGCACCTTGCATCCAACTTGTTCCATTGCCCCGTATACAGCGCTCATCACCGTCTTCACTTGACGAAAGAGTCCCCTGGCTGTTGCTGCAACAGCTTCGCGTCGTTTGTTCTTTGGAGGTGAGCGTATCGACTTCGGGTCTGCCGAAATCGTGTCGTTCGTTCGCTGAATCGATCGGCTTGAGACACTTGTAGCTTTGCACGTGATTGACGGCTAGGGGTTAACTGATACCAACTGATAGTATCGAACGACTTCGAACTGAAAGCTCAACAGCACGCACAGAGCTCCAGAAGATAACGATGCATCGACACATGTCTTTCGAGAGGTCGGACCAAGATAAGGCAAAGGCTCAACGTCCCGGTCGCGAGTGGGTCGTTGTACCGGCGATTTGTGTTGGCCAATGAGAAATAGGACTTGTCACATTAGTCTGTTATGTGCAATCTAATGCTGATGATAAGATAGAGGAGCACGCTCCAGAACTCGCCCGCCCTTCGATATAAGTGATCCAGTTCATAGAATTGAACCAAGTTGCAAAACACTATACAGCAGCAGTCACGGAAGAAGGAGTATGATGCTGTAAAAGTCTGTATTATACCAGTGCAGTCTACGTGGCCAACGCGATCGGTCTTTGCGAATCAGCGTCCAGCATTTGCTTATATGATTCATCTTGAATCGATACTAGGCCAATTCCAAGCGTGCATTATAATAGTGACCCACTCAAAGAGTGACATCGAAGATGTCTGTAATCCTTTGAGAAGGGAACATGCTGTATCGCACTTTGTACGTATAAGGTACACCTAACCGCGTTATTTACAGACAGACACAAACACACAGATAAGTACGACTCAAGAGTTCGGCATTCAATCTTGTGCACACTCACTAATATCTTCACGCTCGGGCTCGCAACAATGGAAACTCGCTCCCGTCTCGCGCTTGTCTTGATTCATCCTCCGCTCTCGTTCTAATCTATACGTTCTACGAGAAGCTACATAGAGAGGGTATGCGTTGGGTGTCGTGAAACTGAAATCGCAGATGGATAATGTGTCTTAAAGATATCGTTGCTTTTGTTGGTGCTGTAAATGTGAAGAGGTAGCTCGTTACATGATATTGACACCAGAATTGGTCAATAGATAGATTGTCCAGTGTGACAATCTTCTGCCAATATTACACAAGATAGGTGATATTGAAGGGAGATCATCCATCAGGATATTATGCACGTGCTGCTCAAAGATTGATTGATAACAGACATATCAAACAATGTTACCATCAATCACTGCTAGACGCGCGTAATGGGTAGTGAACAGGTTGTCGTCATACGAAAATGTAGACTAACACGGTTAGATAAAGATAGAAGTTGGATTGATAGCATAACTGTATTAAATACAGTTCTCGTTTTACCCTATACTCAACGTAGTTGTTGAGTAGATTAGCTGCCTCTGCACGTACGAGTGTACGTGCAGTTTCGCGGCACCATAAAAAAGGGTTCCCGTTACATCTGTTAGCACTTTCTACTTTGTCTAACGACTACCTAGTGTCTGTCCAACATGAACATGCTGATGTTAAAGACGACAACTTTCACGTCACACGTGAAGGCTACTCCCCTCTGAGTGACTCGTAATGGGAGACAGTCGGTCACATGAGCGTATTCATGGGCGACACCGCCATCAGTGGCATGTAGGAGTCTCTATATATATAACAGCAACATGATGCTTTAAACAAGTCCCTACAAGGAGAACTTGCTGTCGAAAGGCAGAAGCTAGTCTAGCTACAACACCAAGGCTCTCATCAGTCGATGGGCGGGCCGACGCACACGCGTCGACCCGAAACCTTGAAGATTGATATCTCTAGCTACAAGGGAACCGATAAATATTTCCTTTTGAGGTGGTTCGTCAAGTTAGATGACGCCATAAGGGCCCGTCATATCGAGGGTGACGAGATGCAAGTCACCTTCGCCCTATCAAACTTGACCGGACAAGTAAAGTCTTAGGCCTAGGGTATCAAGCTTCACGACTTAAACGTGTTTGAGTCGTTGGAGATCTTAAAGTCTCCATCAAAGAAACGTTTGAGCCGCAAAGAGCCGAGTTCAGAGTACGCTCTGCACTGTTGAGGGTCAAGCAAGGTAAGCGTGATGTGCACGCTTATGCACAACACCTGCGCTACCTTGCGAGTAGCGTCACGGAAAACCCTGTTGATGAGCATACGCTCATCAACGTGTTCATCTATGGCCTTGTGGATGGACCGGTGAAGACCTACACGTTCCGAGAGGACTTCCATACGCTGGAAAGGCGATAGCGTATGCGGAACAAGAAGACTTCAGCCTGAGACAGTCTCAGGCTAACTCGTCCAGCTATCGTCCGACGAGACGATAGGATACCAGAGGTCCCGAACCTATGGACCTTGGTTATCTTGAAATCGAGAACTCTTGCTCTCCGAGCCACAAGCGAACGGAAAGATGCCGTCGCTGTCAAAAGATTGGACACTACGCCCATGAGTGAAGCGTCCCAAGCACCGCATCACGTCCAAAGGCAGAAATTGATGACCGCCTTTTGCCTAGGAAAGGTCCAAGGCGCATGTCCAACCATGTCGCTAAATCGCGGTAGAAAGCCAGACCGCCAAAAAAATGGTCAGGGTCAGTAGGGGCGGAGCTCCCTGCTGATCCAGCACGGTCAAAAGAATTTGCAGGACGCTTGACGAAGATTGCTCCCACCACACAGTCGCTGTGCGTTACTACCCCTAGTGATGTGTTGTACCTCATCACTTTATAGATCGAAGTGACGAGTGGAATGTCACTTCGCGCCTTAGTTGACTGTGGGGCGTCGAACAGTTTTAGTCGGTTCCAGTCGCTAGAAGATAGTAGGCTTAACTATGTTGAGCGAGATCTTTTTATAACGAGGATGATTGTGCCTTGCAAAAGGCGTATCCGTAACAGTGAAGAAACTTGTAGTAGGACTCCACTACAGGCTAGAAGGTTTGCAGTACGATGATGAATTCATCGTATTGGATCTGGATGACATTTGATGCCATCCTCGGTCTGCCACGGCTCAGAAGATGCGAGCCATGGATCAGCCGGTAGTATCGATCCGTGAAGATACCTTTCGTTTGCTGATTAGATGACCAGCTGATGAACGTCTTGGAGCGCCCACAAGCGTGCGGATGTACTACGAGTGAGTGCGATGGCCTCATTTGTGGTACGGTCGCTAGTACGGC